CTTGAAAATAATAAAACAAATTAAACATTTGTGCCGTGTATTAAAAGTAAGTTTATTGATTGGAAATTATTTCTATATTATTCGTAGTTTCTATAAATCTTTGAACTTATTAAAATGAAAAATATTTCTTAGACAAGACAGATATTACAGCTGTTCAAAGAATGAGATTATATCGCCAGCGAAAAAGTAAAAAAAATACAAGCAGTCAATGAATGTATGTTAATTTTAATTACATGAAGTTCTTCAAACACTATCATTACATGATGAGTGAAATTGTGAAAACAATATTTGTTCAGGCGTTGATTAACATATTCCACTATTATATAATTTATTAAGCAGCAATTACTTCATTTCTCTAACGAAGGTTCATTTCTAAATGCTAATCAAAATGACAAACCGATCATGTCGTATTTGAAGTATGACTTGAATAACATTATTGTTTTTGAATATTATACATATATTTAATGCTATTATAGATATATAATTTATAATTTATCATTATTAAATGTGTATAATGTTTGACACTAATAAATGTGTGCATCACGAGTGTTACCATATTACTTTAATAAACATTATTCAAAATTGTTTAATGGTGTATTTATTTTTACTTAAATGCCATCTTGTACAGTAGCAAATAAGTTTTACTTCAACAGCGTGTGAACCTTACGCACACTCTTTTTTTTTGCTTTTTTAAGGAAACGTCTCAAGATGCGATTAGAGAGCGAAAATGCAACGGAAACGCGTTACGCCACAAATACTGCTCCGTCATTGGCCAACGATGTGGTCGATTTGAAACGAGTTGATCTGATTGGTCGAGATCGTCTTGTGGGACTTTTCTAGACCATTATAGAAATAATACTGTAAACGTGGTGTTTCATTTTTAGAGTATTGTCCCTATAACTTCCTAGAAAAGTTCTACTCTTAAGGTATATTTCCATTGTCCTAGAAAAATCGCATTTTTAGTTTATTTTTCCTATAATTCTCTAGGAAAGTCCCACTTTTAAAATATTTCTCCAGAAAAGTTTATTATCTCATTTTTCCTATATTTTTGTTAGAAGAAGTTTATTTTAACTTATCTATATTTTCTTTCTAGTTCCTCTTTTATTTTAAAGATGTTTTTCGTACATTTTCTTAAAAAAATCTCATTTTTAGAGTATTATTTCCATAATTCCCTAGAAAAGTCCTACTTTTAGGCTCTCCACGCGATGATTATAAAGAAATTCATTAGACAATTATATATTGAATGTAATATTACGATGAATGCTATAGCATCCACGTCAAGTATTACGCTTCCATAAATCCACTAGAAAAGTTCCACTTTTAGTCTCTCCACGTGGTGATTACAAAAAAATTCACCAGAAAATTATATATTAAACGTTATATTACGATAAATGCTATAGCATCCACGTCAAGTATTACGCTTCCATAAACCCACTAGAAAAGTTCCACTTTTAGTCTCTCCACGTGGTGATTACAAAGAAATTCACTAGAAAATTATATATTAAACGTTATATTACGATGAATGCTATAGCATCCACGTCAAGCATTACACTTCCATAATTCTCTAGAAAAGTCCGACTTTTAGTCTCTCCACGTGGTGTCTCTTTCTTTGATACCGATTATAAAGAAATTCACTAGATAATTATATTTTAAACGTTAAATTACAATGAATGCTATAGCATCCACGTCAAGTTCAACGCTTCGATTTCACCCAATTTGATTGCCCGAATGAAAACATCAGATAATACAAAATTATCTAAAGAATCTGTTAAGAACGTACGGTTAAAAATTAAATTCAAAATAATTGACTTTAAAATTTGAATGCTATAGCATTCATGCCTATACGAAACAAGTCTCTCATAAATATTGGATATGGTAGAGAGTGGCTGGTAAAAAAATCCATCATCATTATCTGAGAAACAATTTAAGTATGGTATTTGTTAACGTTACTATTTTAAAGTAGAGGGCAAAAGACGTGTATCCAGCTAGATTTTTACTCGGGCGAGTCACTATCACGAGACAAACGGCTTAATTATCACATTTCGTATTTGTTTTGAGCACTGTGATTTAGTTGACTATTCCTAAATATAATTTTAATGTGTACGTTATTTAATTGTTTTACATGTAGTTTTATTATTTTTAAAAGACCAATGTTATGGCAAGGCCATGTTACGCTTCAACTTCCATACATTATGCTACTGAATCATAATAAATACTGTCAAAATGTCATGTATTTGCTGTACATTCAGACGCTTTACACATAAACTGCAACGTCACTCGTATGTTATGAAGCTGAGTCAGAAACAACCTGTTATCTAACATCGTTTGTTTGACATTTGTGCGGTTTTTAAGTTAAGTTTTTTATCTGACGACCTGAGAAATACGCCTGACTGCACACCAACCGCACGGCTTATGTCAATATTTAGTATATTATCTTATAAATATGAATTACATAATTAAGATGGAATTTAACCCAGAGAATATATTTGATTTCATGTGTACACTATTATACTAAAAACATCCACTAATGAAAATGATCGATTAATTATTTACAGATACTTATGCATTTTGTTGGTCTAATAAAAATAAGATCTAAAAAATAATTCAAATTTAATCATCTCTAATGGACATATATGACAAATATCTGAAGTAATTAAGGATCATTGAAAAAAAATCCTCTTTAGTATTTAGTCTTAGTATGTCACTATAAGAAAAGTTATGAAAAAAAATCTAAATTTTCAGATTATAATTTCTGAAGCAGCTGAGATCACTTTCTTTGAACTCGTATGAAAAGTTCTTCATAACATGGCCTTGCCATAACATTGGTCTGTTATGCGGCTGATTCGGTCAATTATTTTTTTAAAATTTTTACCAACCTTCTTCTTCGCCATCAGGTGAATTCTCCTTAGTATCAAATAAGCTCCTTTTTGGTCCTGGAGGTTTGGCCCTTTCGTCCAGCAAATAGGCCAACTCCAATTTCCAATTATAACGTGCCAAAAGCATTAAATGCATAACACTTTTTAATCTGGCCAGTTCCCTTTTATCGGCACCTCTTAATAAAACTGTGCAACCTAGATGAGGTTTTGCGCAATTCTCAAAAAACATTAGGGACTTTGAAGTTCCTGAAACATAAAACACAATTATGAATTAAAACATAATTAATTTCACGTAGGGTAAGTTATAGTAATCGCAAAAAATCGGAAATGAAAATTTTGCATATCTTTACGTTTCAAAACTTTCTGAACATTTTGGCATATTTTAGAAAAAATTGATGTGTGTGTGTACGCGGATACATACTCCATTTTGCGGTCAAAAATGTTCTTTAAACATATGCCCAAAAAATGATCAGATATTTTATAGAGATTTTAATATTGTGTACACATCTTGTGTCAATTTTTTGGGTTCCGTACCAAGATTTTTAATTTTGAAGTTTATTTATATGGTTTAAAGTTTAAACGAATGCCCTTGGCATTTTCGACAGTATGGAATAACCGATTTGTGTGAAATTTTAAAATTTAAAAATTTCAAAAAAAAAATTAAGTTTAAAAAAATTCAAATCTTCGAAATTTTTCATCATCTAAAAAAATCTAAATGTTGAAAAATTACAATAAAAAAATTAAAATAAAATAATTATATTGTTAAAGTATTGTAAGGCTTATTGAAATATTCATTAAATTTTTAAAAAATACTTGCAACAAACAAACTAGTTATATTTATAAATAATTAAAATTAACTAAATATAAATAAGTCTATAGTTAATAATTTAAATAATAAATAAATAAGTAATAAAATAGCTAATAATTAATTAAATTATATTAAACCTATAAAATAATGACTTAAGCCTTATTATAATATTATTATACTGACGGCTTGTAAAATTAATGAATAAATAAATAAATAAATACAAAAAATTTGAGTATACTTCAAAATTTTCAAAAATTTCCAAAAAATTCTCAAAAATTAAAAAAAATCGTCAAATATCAAAAAATTTCGAAATTTTTAATTATCAATAAAATTGTTTTGGATCTTATTAATAAAAAAAACTAATTTAAAAAAATTAACAAATTCCTTGAAAACATGCAGTTTTTGAGAGAAATTTTCAAAAAAATAAAGTTTTAAAAAATTCAAATTTTCGACATTTATCATCATTTTGAAAAAAAAAAATCTAAATTTTTAAATTTTCAAAAAATTTGAGAATATTTCTAAATTTTCAAAAAAAAAATCGAATATTTTGAAAAATTTCCAAATTCTCAAAAAATTTAAAGAAAAATCGATTTTTCTTCAAAAATTCCAAAAAATTTCGATATTGTAAATCATTGTCAAAATTTAAAAAAAAAGTCGAAATTGTCTAATTAATTAAACTAATTTCTTGTAAACATGCAGTTTTTGAGGAAACGAATCATCCGATTAGATTAACTCAAAAACATGCAGCTTGTGAAGACAGTGTGCAAAAAATGCCTTTACAAAAAATTTCGTAATTTTGAAAATTTTCAAAAAATTCAAATTTCCAAAATTTTTAGTCATTTTCAAAAAAAATCTAAATTTTGAAAATCTCATAAAAAATCCAAAATTTTCGAAAAAAATTCAAGTTTTAAAAAAATCTAATTTTCGAAAGTTTTCATTTGAAAAAAAATCTAAATTTTGAAAGATCTCAAAAGATTTGAGATTATTCCTAAATTTTCAAAAAAAAATCGAATATTTTCAAACATTTCCAAATTCTCAATAAATTAAAAAAAAACAATGCTTACCAAGAATTCCAAAAAACTTCAAACTTTCAAATAATTTCAAAATTTCAATATTTCAAAATTACCAAAAAAATCAAATTCAACTATTTCTTCTATTATTAACTTACTTTTTCCAACATCGAAACACTGTATGCTAAACTCGGAGCAAGTCCCAAGTCGCGGCTGTCCAAAATGCGTATCAACCGAAGTGACGATATCAGCTCCTGTGCATCTGGCAACCCTTTCCAAAACCGAAACTCTTACACCAAGTGCCATTGTGACTCCTCCTGCACGTAACAATTCCTGCGCCAAACGGGAAACACTCCTCTGGACCAGGACGACATCGGGTTGAAGGGCCAGAACCCTGGCCGTCACGTTGGCGATGTAATCATTCTCCTGGGTAAAAAAAAGATACATATGTGTTAAATATTGTTCGGACGTATTTTCGTTTTATGATATTGGCCATTAAGGTGACAACCTTCAGGGCATTAAGCTTTACACGGAATGGTTGCCTGGTAGAAGGGGATGGCGGAGTGTTTTAATTGAACTAGTCGCTTGCTTCTAAAAGTAAAGTCCGCGAAACAACATGTATTGTCAATAAATATATAAATATATCTTCTTTCATTATAACTTAGTAACAAATCAGTGATTGTAATAAGAACTGCAACAAATACATAATACACAAATAAATCAGTTTTTAATGATTTATCGAACAACCTGAATTATCGAAGGAGAGTTTTAACTAGTTGGTTTGATATTTAGCCTTGAAGCAAGTTACATGAACTTCTCGATATGTGCAAATAATTGACTTAATGAATAAAGAATAAATTAATTTATGAGTCATTATAAGTATTCCGAGTGGATTCATTGCACATAATTGAAAACGAACGAACACGTTAACTAGGAGTATTTTCTAAAAGCAAATTTTAAAAAATCAACAATTTATATAATTGAATCAGTTTCCGCAGGACTTTAATGGTTTAGTATGTTCATTAAGACCAAGTATAACTATCGTTATACCAAGTAAATTCTACTACTCTACTACTACTCTACTAAAAAACTACTCATTTTCTCAAACCTTGATAAATTTTTAAACTAATATCTTTCGAACAGTTTTCAATTTTTTAAAATCGGTTCGGTAGCATGAGCTTTTATGTGGACGAAAGGTTTAACACTTTTTTTCAAAATACAAAGTAACGGCTCGTCGCACAAAACCGAGAAACGATAATCCTCATCGAGATACATCAAATGGTTTTTAAATTTCTGAAATCGGTTCAGGCGTTTTTGAGTAAACGTCGATGAAAGTTCTAATTTTGACAAATGCCAAAAAGACCATACTAATTTTTGAAAACTTTGACAAATTTTTAAAGCTAAAGGAGTTGTCGTAGGGCCGTAATATTTTAGTATGATCTAGAAGACTATGGTATCTACCGTCAAAAAAATAATAATAAAAATCGTCGAAAAAAAATTTTTTAACACCTTATTACAAGAAAACGGCCCGGCCGATCTCTACCAAAAACTAATCAGGTCGGTTCCCAACCAATATCTTTCGAACGATTTTTGAATTTTCAAAATCGATTCAGAACTGCGGGCTAAAACGTGGACGAAAAACTTTTCACTTTTCTGCAATTTGCAAAGAAACGGCCCGGCTGATCGCCGCAGAAACGCTAGTCCTCGTCGAAATACATCGAATGGCTTTTAAATTTTTGAAATCGGTCTAGCCGTTTCTGAGAAATCGTCGATTTATGACAAAAAATCTGTTCACAAACACGCGCACACACACACACACACAGACACACACACATACTTTTTCCAAATTTGGTCTCATTTGATTCGGAATGGCTTGAAACGTCGAGAAAACATAAAATTAGCGAATTGGATTTTTTGATGAAAACATAAACTTCTCCTTCGGGAAGTTAATAAATTTTTTACAGATATCTTGCAATGGCTTAGGTGTGAATTTTACCACTTACTTGTCTCATAACAGGTTCCAAAGAAAAAAATCTGCCTTCGACTCGTTGGTATACAATTGCACATTGCAAAAGTAAAATTTTAGGGTCACGAATTCTCGATCGCATTTCCCGGTGAGAAGCATTTTTGCTGCAAGCAACGCCGCTGACAATCTCGCAATCACTTTTGGCACCTCCAGGAACTTTCTTGAATTGCACGTATTGGCGAATGTCCTGAGTTTCTTCGAAATCTTCAGACTCCTCTACAAAAAAACAAAAGAGAATTTTGTAATACTCCAGTTCAGTCAATGGGGCGTTTTGGGTATGAATTTTTTTACTGTGCTCCAATTTGCATAAAATTTTGGAACTATGTTCATCTTACTCTCAAGTTCACAAGTGAACTTCAGAAAAATTATAAAGTGGTTTTAGTATGGAAGACCAATATAATGCAAATACTTCTATACTCCGGTTAATGGAGCGTTTTGGGTCTAATTTTTTTTACTGTGCTCCAAATTGCAAAAAATTTTGGAATTAGGTTCATCTTGTTCTTAAGTTCTAAAGTGAATACAATTTGTACTGACACCCCTTCTCAGTGGTGTTTTTTTTTCTCAAGATAACGTCGGATATTGATAGAATAACTAATTGCAAGACAAAAATGTTTTATAAAGTTTTTCCAGAAAAAAACAAGTACTTTTGAAGTTACTGGCTTGTTAAAAATTCATATATTTTTGGCGTTTTTCTACGTTTTTTGGCAAATTTCTCCAGAAATATACATTTTATCAAAAATCATGTAATGAACAAAATTATGCCAATTAAAATCTTAATAAATTAGTGCTTTATAAAGTGTTCTAATAACAACATTAAGCAAGATATGAAGGAGCAAAGTCGTTTTTTATTTTATTCAAAATTTATTTGTTGTATTTAAAGCCATCTAGCGGCGAGGTGTTACATTTTATATATTCCATGGGGTTTTAAAGTGCTTAAAATAAGCTTTAAAATGAGTACTGCTAAGGGTCTTCTGCGTGTAAAATGAGTGAGCTATCATGCAAATAAAAAAATATATCTATCTTCTTTTTTTAGTATCTCTATGTTCTTCTTTCTATTACCTCTATTATTTTCCTATACTCTCTCTCTCTCTCTCTCTGTCTATTATCTCCATTCCTATCTCTATCCCCTTTTCTTTGTAAAATTTCATTTAATTATTTTCATCTAACTTTCTACACTTTTCTATACTCTCTCTTTCTATTTGTATATTATACATATCCCTTTATCTACCTATCTCTATCACTTTTTTATCATATTTTATGGTCTTTATTAATTTTCTACACTTTTCTACGCTCCCTTTCAATTTGTCTATCTCTATCCCTTTCTTTATCCAATTCTTTTGTATTATTTCAGATATTCTCTGGTACAAATGTTTACCCAGGTGCGTTTAGACTGAAGCACTTTTCCAATTTTGTAAAAATATTCAAAAATGTGAAAATGCCGCCAAGCTAAGCACAGTATAAGTGAAAATGTCGCACAGAATTATTTGCAAATGTGATTAGACTGTGACTTTACGGAAGCACTTTTTCAGTTTTGTGCAAATTAGGCAACTTTTTTTTTTGAAATTGAATTCGAAATGAAATGACTATTGTTAATGTTCTGGAGATATATTTATTTATAATTTATGATTTATATTTGCTCAGATATAACAAGATAGCAAAAATAACGAAAGTTACACTATTTGTAATAATATATTTGAATTTCTCGTTTAAAATTTCTCGTATATTTCATTACGGTACGGGAAGTTCCAGCAATTTGCCTTAAGGCACGATACCATACACCACTAGTTTTATTTTAAGCTAAATAATATATTAGAAAATACTTCAAAATTTTAAAAACGTTTTCTATCAATAAAATGGGTTTGGCAGATATCGGTGGGATTAACCCTCTCCCCACCAGGCGGTGTGCAAATTGTTTTAACTTCTGAACTTAAGAGTAATTTTCTCCGATTTCCAAAATTTCATGCAAATTGGAGCACAGTACAAAAAAATTCAGAAGTTACATCCTTTTTCCATCAAATACATTATAAGTTTTAATTTCTTTTCCTACCTGGTCGAATGGTTTCAACAATTTCATCGCACAAACGCTTCACAGTTTCGGCCCATTGGTCGTAGGATAGGCGAGCCGCGCCCAAAAGTTGAGCCAAAAGAGCATCCTCGTGCCTTTTGTAAGATTGCCATAAGGCGATTTCGGTTTCGGTGCTTTGATATTTTTCCGGTAAACCCGGATTTGTTGATATTGATCCTACTGAAGAGCGATCTGCTGGGACAATTGGTACTTGGGCCACATCTGGACTTTCCAAATCGCTTACGTAATCTGTTGAAGTCGCTGATGGTCTTGATAAATAAACTGAATGTCCTTGCACGTCTAAGTCCAAACAAAAAGTTGAAGTCGATAGAGGAAGATTTCCTCTACCTGAAATATGAAAAGTATATGAATGGATAAATGAAATAAATGAAATAAACTGAAATGAAATAACAAATAATAATAGTCGTATTGGAATATTTGACTGTCTTAACAATAACCGAGAAAAAATTGAGAATTATAATGAAATAAAAATAATAGATTCTTTAAAAATACAATATAATTTAACAACATAGTCCATTTCCAAAAGTCACTCTAATTCTATACTCACTAGGGTTTATACAAAAACCGACATTTCAGAAAACCGGTTTTCGAATTTTAATTTTACTAAAAAAACGGTTTTAACCGGTTTTCAAATTTTATATAGAAAATAAATTTTTGCTCGAATATTCTGTAATTTATCCGCAAATTTAATGTAATTCAGAGCAATATTTGACTGAATTTATTTATTGTTCAATTTTATAGATAGTAAACAAAATTATTTTAATTTTAATTAGTAGAACTAAAAAATAATAGTTTATCTTAATTAAATAATTTTGAAAGTAATTATTTGTTATTCATGCATCATTTTCACAAATAAGAATAAAAATATTTTTATGATAGTGAAAGCAAAGTTTTCGAATAAATAAAAATATTAGGTTGTCAAATATCTCCCTTCCGCTTTTTTGCTTTTGGTTTATAATACAAAAAGGCGGAAGGGAGATATTTGACAACCTATACATTCTTAAATAAAAAAAAATACTAGATACAATTGTCTGTTCCGAACAATTTCAATTAATTAATTTTAAACATTCTAATTGTTTTTTTATTTAATAAAATATGATTTCAAAAAACTGAGAACGTCTATCGAATTGCTATTTATGCATGTCCTTCAATTACACACAAAATTTTCTGAAATAGAAAATACTCTCATACTTGCGACCAAATTATGCTTAATTGTTTTTAAAGCCTGATATAATATCTCTAAGTTTTTTGTTATTTAATTTGTGGCTTCTAGGGCTTAAAACTCTTTCTTTTTAGGTTTGAGTAGAGCAAGTTACTTTCTTAAGAAGAAACCACACTGATTTAAATTAATATATACAATGGTATAAAAATCTAAATTAATATATACAAAACCATTCTGGGAACCATTGCATTAATTGATAAGATATCAAATGCTATTCAACCGATATGATTTCAAGAATCAAAACGCTTATGTCTATCTTTTATATTTGGCTATATTTGTCATTTTCCATTTATACAGTGAAAACCGACCTTTGTCACTAAAAAACGGTTTTCGAATTCCATAATTTTCGCCAAAAAACCGGTTTTTGAAAACCGACAAACCCTACTAAGAACTGATTTTGTATATAAAATTACCTGTTTGGGTTTGAATAGCTGTTTCTGGTGTAGTTTCTTTAAATTTTGCTTGGTAAAGTAAGTGTTCTAAAAATTCAGTAGAATTTTCATCCGTCGGACATTCCATATATTCAGCATCCAACAAAGCTTGGCAAATCGCATGAGCTTGATTTCTAAAAAATAAAGTGAGATGTTTCTATACTGAATATTGACAACCATATGGTTGTTGTGCAGTCAGGCGTATTTCTCAGGTTGTCAGATAGAAACCAAACGTAGAAACCGCACAAATGTTTAAAAAAAACGATGTTAGATAACATGGTCTTTCTGACTCAGCTTCATAACATACAAGTGACGTTGCAGTTTATGTGTAAAACGTCTGAATGCACAGCAAATACATGACATTTTGACAGTATTCAGTACCATATTGTATGGAAGATGGAGCGTAATAAATATCCGCAACACACACACACATACATAATTTTTTGTAAGGTATGCCGAAATTTTCAGAAACCTTTGAAACGTAAAGATATGTAAAAATTTTTATTTGCGATTTTTGGACGATTACAATAACTTGTAAATGAGAAGTTAAAGATGTATACATTTTCGAAATTTTTAGAAGGGTGTGAACTGCAAGATCATTTATTTCCACTTTTACTCCGTATCTCCAAAACGGCTAAACCTGCTTTGCGCAAATACTTTTATAGTACTTTTTGACGTCAATATAAATCAAACGTTATTTGAATTTATCAAATCGGTTGATCCCTGCTTTCGAAATCCTACACAAACACATCCATTTTTTCTAAGGTATGCCAAAATGTTCAGAAGGCTTTGAAACGTAAAGAAATACTAAAAACTAATCAGCACATCTTCTTACGAATAGGAATTGAATATTTTAAATGTATAATTTTTTTAATCATTGAAATCGATTGTTCCGTGCGCCCGAAATCGTCGGCAAAAATTGTCTGCACACAAACACACACATCAATTTTTTTTTTCTAAAGTTTCCCACAATGTTCAAAAACCTTTGAAACATCAATATAAATGAAAAATTTTAGGTTCGATTTTTTTGCGATTACTATTATAACATACGTTGTTGAAAATGTTACTATAAGTGTAATAGCTATTCTTAGTACATGTAATGTCATATATGTCAACAGTATGGGCATAACATAGAGCACTGCAAAATTTTAGGTACTGATGAGTTGCACTTGTAAATAAAATAAGCCAGAAGTCTAACAAATATTATTATCAAAAATGTGCTATTTGGAGGTTACTTGACAGTATCAAAACTGTAAACAATTCATATAAACACTATAGGTATAGCTTTTTGATATATTCGAGACTAAGACTGCCAACACATTAAGAATCAACATCAGGAAAACATGATTTATCAAAATAAAACAAGCACTTCAAGAAAACCAATTCTTCAACAAATTCTCAATTGACATTTTTTTATTGTTTTCTGAAGTAAAACTTTTTTAGGCGTGACTAGAGAGTAAAATGTACAAATGCAACGAAAAAGCGTTGAGTGCCAATGATTCGTCATTCGATCTCGATAAGATCATTTCAATACGGGTCGATTGTGATTGGTCGTCGTGTCGCGTGAGTATGATTTCTCTGATTGTATAGTGAAAATAATAAAACAAATGAAAAATCTGTGCCGTGTACGAAACGTAAGTTTATTGAAGTAATTTATATTATTCGTGGTTACTATATATTTTTATAGGCAAGACACATACTACAGCTGTACAAAGAATGAGACTGTATCGCCAGCGAGATAGTAAAAAAACAAACAGTCAATGAATGTATGTTAATTTTAACTAAATGAAGTTCTTCAAACACAATTATTACACGATGAGTGAAATTGTGAAGACAATATTTGTTTAGGCGTTGTTTAACATAATCCACTGTTTGAATGAATATTATGAAATATATCAATCAGCAATTACTTCATTTCTCTAATGAAGGTTCATTTCTAAATGCTAATTTCAATGACAAATCATGTCGTATTTAAAGTATGACTTTAGTAATAACATTATTGTTTTTGAATATTATACACATTTTTAATGCTATTATAAATATATAATTTATAATTTAACATTATATAAATGTGTATAATGATTGACGACATTAATAAATGTGTGCATCACGAGCGTTACCATATTACTAAGAAACATTATTTAAAATTGTTATATGATGTATTAATTTTCACTTGAATGCCACCTTGTACAGTAGCAAAAAAGTTTTACTTTAATCGCGTGTGAACCTTACGCGCACTCTTTTTTTTACTATCTTGTACTAGTCATATACACTTTATCAAATATTATGGTTGACATATTTACATACCTATTGCCAGCTTTCTGTCTCTCAATAAGCCAATGAACAATATCAGTACCAAGTACTACGTCCACATAACATCGTAATCTGTACCGATGTTGAGAAAATGTTACACCAGTCCCTGGTCTAACCAATTCCTGGTACAAAACTCGTAAGGAAGCAGAAGAACGCAGGGCGTCTTTACGATCAGGATCGCTTAAGGAAATATTGTATGCTGAATTACGAGATACACCAAATCTGTAAGTAAAATATATATAATTTAATATCATTTTTGTGAATATTATGTTTAGATTTAAATGTTACTACCTTTCTTCCTGGTAGCCTCCAGATGTTTTTTTCTTAGGTCCGACGCTTACGGAACTTTCGCTGCTGCCGAATTTACTTTGCAAATCAACCTTTGTAATAAAAATAAAATAAAATATATATATATATATATATATATGTGTATATATATATATATATATATATATATATATATATATATATACAAACCTGTAAAGCTCTCATGTCTGCTGTTAATTCTGCTTCAATATTAGGTGAATGCAAGTATGACAAGATAATTTTGCAGCAAAACGTACATACTTTTAAATCGCCTATAATACAAATGAAATTTGTTTTAACAAAATGCATTTTAAAACTAGTGGTGTATGGTATCTTGCCTTGAAGCAAATTGCTAGAACTTCCCGTTCCGTAACGAAATGTTCAAGGAATATCAAATGTTTTCAAATGGATTATTATAAATACTGTAACATTGTCTAATATTTATTTATATGAATTATATAAACTGAATTGCAAAGTTAGAATTATTTATTTAAAATATATGAGTGAGCTTCATAACTATAGCCAGGATTAGAATTAAAATTTGTTTTATTTTCAATATACAAAAAAAAAGAAAATAGGTGCTCTAACTAATTTGATTTTAATTATTTTTATTTGACCAAAAATTTTAGACAGAAATATGAAACTCTTACTCTATGTACCGCTTACATAAAATAAACTAACGAACTCTGGTGTCATCTATTTGCTATTTTCCTTGGAAAAAACATTTCTATAAATTAGGTCTTTGACTGAACAACAATTTCAACACAACTACTAATACTACTTATACAATAACTCATTTTTACATCAAACGTCTTTGAATGATCTTATCAAATTAATAGTTTAGATTGCGACTTCTTATATATTGGTAAAGTAGCAAAAAGTTAATAAAATAAATTCAACAATATAAAAACAATTTTAAAATTTGCCAAGAAAATAAAATTATTTTTGCAGAACATATTAGCATACTAAAACATAATATAATGATTGACCTACATTTCAAAAAAAGGATATTTAGAAGATAGTGAAGGATTTTTTTTAACTATTTATAACTTCAGAGTAATAAACGAACTCAAAGACGTCACAATATTAAATATTTGTAACTTTCCGTAAGGTTTCTAATATTCTCAATCTTCTCCCCACAAATATTCTATATCCTCCCCCAATAAGAGATGTTCATAGTATTCTAGATCCTCCCCCCCATAAAGTAGCTAGATAAGCGGAAGTTTTAGTCGGTATTATACACAGACGATTTTGAGACATATCCAGACAAAAGACCCAGTCTGGGATGCACAAAGGCATTTCATTCAATTTTCACACATACATCAATTTTTTCTAAGGTATGCCAAAATGTTCAGAAACTTTTGAAACGTGTATGTATGTGCGGAGACTATATTTCGTCCAAATTTTCGAAGAATCCAAAACGAATCAACCAATTTGAATGATTCAAAAAACATTCAATTTTTATTGATGGAAAGATGTTCTGATTAGTTTTTGGCAAAGGCAGGTAGAGCCGTTTCGGAGATATGGTGCAACGAGTGCAGTAAATAGAATTCGGGTTTTTGAGAGAACGGAGTATACGATTTAAATAATCCAAAAAAATATTCAATTTGTAACGGTTGTGAGAAGTGGTGTTTAATTTTTGGCAAAGGCAGGCCCAGCCATTTCGAAATTTATAGTTTTATACCACCTGATTTGAATGGTTCAAAAAACTTTCTACTTGACGAAATAATTGTTTTTGAAAAACACAATTTTTTTGAATTCAGATAAAAAACTAATTCAGATTTTCAAAATTTTAATTCGGCATGGAAAGTTCCAGCAATTTGCCTTAAGGCAAGATGCCATATATTACAAGTTTAATATATATATATATATATATATATATAAATATATATACATATATAGATAGATATATAGAGAGAGATATACATACATATAGATAGATATATAGACATACATATATAGATATAGATACATACATAGAGATAATATAGATAGAGATATATAGATATATACATATATATAGATATATAGAGATCTATATATATACATAAGATATATATATATATATAATATATATATAATATATATATATATATATATATATATATATATATACACACACACACACACACATATATATATATATATATATATATATATATATATATATATATAAGATATTTATATTATTACCTTGGCAATTAATTATTCGTCCAGGCAGCTTTTGGTTACAGCAAGCTGCACAAAAAACTTGGCCACACAAACGACAATGATGTCTTCTTCGAAAAGTATTAAAAGGTTCTGTACAATCATAGCATTCATAACAAGCACTATCGGGCATCCAATATTGTCTTAATTGTGTGGACTCGTAGGACTGCAAACCTTCCTGTGATAAATTTATATATATATATATATATATATATATATATATATATATAAATTATATATATATTAGTAATAAAAAATTATATATTAAAAAGATATATTATGAAGTGTCTTACAGAATTTTTTAGAGCAACAATATTTTTAACACGCTTCAACACATTTATCAATCTTTGGCTTTTGCTGGTGTCTTCGTATTGTATAGAGTTACTCCGTCTATCATCCTCTACCTAAAACAAATGTTATAATTTAGTTTACACCAACATTTATGTATAATAAACCATACTAGTTTTACATACCGATTTCTCCCTTTCACTAAAAGATATATCCTGAGACACATTATCCCCAGATGCATTCTCATCCAGAACATTTTGAGTAGAGCCACTTTGGCTACTCGAGGTACTTGGTGAATTGGAATTATTTTGACTGGAACTTTTAACACCGAACCATCTTGTAAATAAACCACTAATTGTACTACTTTCTTCAGTTATAAACGGTCCAAATTCTGTTAACTTATTTGGAGAGTCGCATTTTTTATTCATTGTGCAATGTAAATATTGTGCAATTGGAAATTATAAAATTATAAATTTTATTAACACAGACACATATCACAGAATGTATTAATATTTGTTAATACGGAAAATAAGGGATATATTAAAATCATTATATATTAGTTATGGTAATAGATAAATTGGATAAATTATATATATAAATTGTGTTTGCACATAACCTTATACAATGGCTGTCATTTTGACTTTTGTGTGACAGGAGGAATAGAAGTGAAGTTGTACGCAAAATGGCGATTACAAATGGCGCGCGAAATTTGAATTTGAAATTTGGAATTTACAAATATTGTACAATTGAAAATTATCTTAACACAGACACATATCAAAGAATGTATTAATATTTATTAATATAGGGAGTAAGAATTATATTAAAATTATTATATATTAGTTGTAATAATAGATAAATTGCGTAAGTAATATATAAATTGTGTTTTGCAATCACATAACCTGTGGCTGCCATTTTGACTTTTAATATTTCTTTGAATTGGATTGTTAAGTTAATATAAAACAATCTAAAAGTATAAATTTACCAAATAAATTAGCGTATTTGTCTATAATGAATAAAAATAACATAATTAAATTTGCACTAAAGCATAGAAACAAAAAATAATATATATATTAACTTTATATAAAAACGTAAACTTATGTTATTTCTGTAATATTGTAATTGAAACATTTTAAAGTCATCCAATTTTTTTAAAAACTAGTGCTGTATGGCATCGTACCTTAAGGCAAATTGCTGGAACTTTCCGGTACCGTAATGAAATATTCGAAAAATTTTAAACGTTTTCAAATATATTATTACAAATACTGTAACTTTCATTATTTTTGCTATCTTGTTATATCTGAGAAAATCAAATGTAAATCACAAATCATAAATAAATTTATCTCCAGAACGTTAACATTCGTCATTTCATTTCGAATTCAATTTAAAAAAAATAGTTACCTAATTTACACAAAATTGAAAATTGCTCCCGTATAGTCACAGTCTAAACGCATTTGCAAATAATTCTGTGCGACATTTTCACTTATACTGCGCTTAGCTTGGCGGCATTTTCACATTTTCAATAGTTTTCTCACAAAATTGGAAAAAATTAGAAACAATATTTTTTTCAAAAGCAATTATTTTGTTAAAACAAACAGAAAGTTCTTTGAATCAATTCAAATCGGACGCTTAGTTCACTCAAAAACTGCCATTTTTTACACATTTAGCCTTATATCTCCGAAACGGCTGGACCTGTTATTGCCAAAAACTAATCACCTTTTCTCCCAATCATTACAAATTGAATGTTTTTCAGATCATTCAAATCCGATACTCCGTTCTCTCAAAAACTCGATTTGTATTTTCTGCACTCTTTGCTCCATATCTCCGTAACGGCTGGACCTGCCTTTGCCAAAAACTAATCAGCATACCTCTCTATCAACAGGAATCGAATAGTAAATGAATCATTCCAATCGGTTGATCCGTGCGACCGAAAACGTGGACTAAAAAATGTATCCATACATACACTCACACTCGCACACACAGATTCATTAGTTTTCTGAGGTATTCGGAAACCTTCAAAACGTCGAGAAATGCAAAAATTTTCATTTTCGATTTTTGGCCCATTACTATAACTACCCTACGGGAAGTTAATAAATAAAAAAGCAAAGAAATAAACAACAATATTTATTAAAAGTGTATAAAAACGTAAACTTATGTTGTTTTGTAATTGTGTAATTAAAACAATTTAAAATCAAAATTACACTCCAAATTTTGATACAAAAATTAAACTCTATTATAATTTTTTTCTCGTTATTTCTTAATTTACACACATGATTTATTCAAAATTTTTTTTATTTATATATTTTTTTGTAGTGTATTTTTTTATTTATATACATTATTTTCATATCTCAGACAGACAGAAGTGCCTGGTACGAGAGATTATAAAAAACAGTTTACATAATTTATATATACATTTCATTTGACTATAATATCTATTTCATTAATATAATATCTATTACAATTAAAATATCCTTATATAACTCTTCAGTCTTCTTTGTCTTTAATTTCCTCATAATATTTTTATATTTTTCTTTTAAATTTGGTCTAAAACGATTCAGAATGACTTGAAACGTTCCAAAAACACAAAACTAGCAAATCTCTCGTCAATTCTTCTTTGGGAAGCTAGTTAACACATAAATTTTAAATATTCATAACAAATTTAATAATTAATAACAAATTCCTATTAATATTATTATTACTATCTTGGCTTAATATTAAACTTTATTACTCCCGCTTTCGTCTCACGATCTGTTACGGATTTAGCCGAACCGTTTGCTTGGAAAACGTTCGAAAATTGAATTTCTTATTTCACATTTCGATCAGTACTTTGTGCTGACGTCCAGCACAAACTTAAAAAAAATCTTAGTTAAAAATATAATTTAATTAGGAATTTATTGAAATTGTAATGTAATTAATATGAGTGAAGTGTTAGAATTTTTTTTTGATTTTTTTTTGTGTTTGACAAGTTTTGTGGTGAGTTTTTCTGGTGCTAACAAACCTACTGGACTAACAAGGCATGATAAAAGATAATCATAAATATTATTGAATAAAAATCAAAATTAGATTATATGTCCTATAATTTAAATACTTTTTCCCTAATATTGACTACTTTAGTTGGCTATAATATAATTATTTTAATTTTGTTTTTTTGTGAGTGATTTTCAAGAAATTTTCTTGACTTTTATAAAAAGTTGGTATCAAAAAATGATATTAATGTGAAAAAAATTTGATCTCAAGAAATTCAAATAAATCAATTTTAATTCTTACTAGCAAAAATAATTTCATATTGAGAATATAATATGTAGTGAAAAATCATGAACAAAATGCAAATCAATATTTAAGGCTCGATATAATATAATTAAAATTCAATAGACTCATGAATAAATCAATATTAATTATCATTCAAACAAATTTTTATTTAAATTAGTAATAAAAATATGTTTTATTATTTTCTCTGTAGTTTTCCACAAAAAGAATTTTAATATTAAAAATTCAAAATTCAAATTTTACGTGCACATAAATCAAGTTCGACATTAGATATTTAATTATTACATTTTTTTTTCTCATTGTTTCTTAATGCTTTATTCAAATTCGGTCCCAAACGATTCAGAATGGCTTGAAACGTCGAAAAAACATTAATATTATTAATTCAATTTTTATTTTTATTAGACATGTTTTAGGTATTAATAAAAATCTGAACTTTTAAAATATTAATATATACAATATTTGCTAGGGTAATATTATTGAACATAATCATGTTTTGTTAAAATATTTATTTAAATAAAAAAAAGTTTTGCAAAATAAAATTCAGCATGCTTTCATTTACTTTATAACTAAAAATGTTCTAAAAATGAGGTTTTAACATTTGATACAAAATTATAAATATAGTTAAAATTATATATAATAATTGTCAATTAAAATGTTATTTAACAAGAAATGTGTTTTTGCTTACATGAAAAATCACAATTATTATCATATTTTTGATAAATAATTTAAAATAATAATTTATTAGAAAAGAACTTGCATGCTTTGCGGCTTCTATTAAAATAATTGAATTTAAAATAAAAATTATTTAATTAGAAATCTTTATACAGATTTACGCATTTATTTGTACTAATGAAAGATTTAAACACAAAATTTTATACATAGTGTAAATAATTTACGAATATACATATAATTTTAATACATTATATATTTTATCAATTATTTTATATTAAACATTAAAGAAAATATATTAAATACAAAGAGTTAGATATGTAGAATTAAAATAATCTGTGTAATAAATTTACTTTCAAGGGTTCAAAAAAAATCGAAGAATACAGTTTCAAAAATTTAAAATATTCCTGACAATTTCTAGAATTTCCTAGTATTGCTCTATAATTATATCATAATTACTAATATATTTTAGTAATAACTAAATTCACGAAGAAATCTAATTCTCAACAAAATCGATAATTTTCAAGGCACAGAATTAGGTACATAATTCTATTTTGTAAATACAGTTTACACCTAAATTTAAATTTTAAATAATTCTCTGTAATAAAAAAATTACTCCAATATCTTATCTCATAAAAAAAATATAAAGTAAAAATAAAATCGAGACTGCAAAGGCAAATAAAAGTTTAGTAATAAATTTGTTTCATTGCTTAGAAAGACAACACCATTTAATTTTTATATAATTTTTGTTTCTAAAATTTCCAAAAATATAAAATAGTATATATGTCTCTTAGGGTGGTCCTTAATATGGACATTTTTGAATTTCCTTGATCCCAGGGGCTCAAATTCTTCCAAATTGATAAAAAATATCCTCTATAAGTTTTAGCTCTTAATATTAACTATTAGATAGTGCGCAATTCAATCAAAGTTTTGTATAGAAATAGCAATTTAAAAAAAATGAGTTTTAGTTATGAAATAGTTAACAAATGAATGAGTTTTATTCAAAATTCGACGCTCTACAAAACAAATTATGAAAAACCTGTTTTGTATAAAATTTTAATAGAACATGACATGAATTGTCACTTTTAATTCATTTGTCGCTAAGTTATACCTAAAAAACATTTTTAAAATTTTCGAAAATGTTTCCAACCTATTTCCATACAAAGTTTGATTGAATTGCGCACTATCTAAAAGTTAATATTAATAGCTAAAACTTTCAGAGAATTGTTTTTTTATTAATTTGGAATCATTTAAACCCCTGGGAGCAAGAAAATTTCGAAAATGTCCATATTAAGGACCACCCTGTTTTAGGACGAAATTGGCCAGACATTGTAATAATCAAAATTGTAAGACAAATTTCAGGGTTCAATTCTGCAGTAAAATAGATCAATGATATGGCAAGGCTAGGTTAAGTATCAGTTATCATACAAAGTGGTACTAAAAACTGTCGCAACATTATGTGGTTGCTGTGCAGG